GCACGTATTACCCAAGACAATATCCGACACGCGGATATTCAGACATAATCTCACAACAGTATACGCAACATACCCACGAGCGGATAGTAGCACAGAACAGTTCACCACACCACGATGATACACAGACATTCCAAACACACGAGTAGGTACCAGACATCCACACACGAGTAATACACAGACATTACCTACACACAGATACCAGACACAGTCAATGCACACACGGGTATACCAGACAGTTCCTACACAGGCGTATACGCAGACAATATCCAACAACTCGTTAACCATGCTCACACAGACTGTTCATCACGTGATCAAAAAGAGCAAGTTTACATAGAATCGCAAACATTCTTATAGAAAGAAAAAGATTTCTCCAACCCACAGAGAAGTGTAGTGAAATGTTTATGTTATTTGCTCTCAATGATGACTATTCTTAACAGACATCAATTAGTAAGTATATAGATTAATGACTAGAATGAAGAAATTTAGTAGAAGTTGTGTAGTTGATCATAAATAGTGGAAAAGAAGACGTATTTTGCGGTTGTGTGTTTTAATAGGCAATGTTGAACTTCCGCAGAGACAACCCTCGATACATTTATCGAAGAGATCGTGAAAATTTGGCACTCCAAGTTACGTCCTACAAAGCCACTAGATGGCATGGCATGACGGTCTTGAGTATACGGAACATAGTGTATATCAATTCTATCTTAAACTCACTTGATGCACGATCCGCCTTAGACTGTTTATGCGTGCGGAGCGAGCAATGATTATCCCTACAGTTCGAATTATTTCTTAGTCAAATCGATATAGGATGTCAAGACCATTCTAATAATTCTTATTACTGAATGCTTACATGAGTGTGAGCATCGTACATTATTCGCTAGCATATCACTAGCCAAAATAATTATGATGCAAGAAAGTGAAGAAATTATCTAGTTTAACCAGCAAATAGATGTTCATTGTCTCAGTATTCTATGTATTCAGTTACTCAATATAATGATTTTTTTGATGTATAGATAATTAGCGAGGTTGTTTGATTGAATGGTTAACTATGCACTATGTAAAGGCTAATATAATCGTGATAGGCTTGGAGCTTTGTTATCTGATATAGTCTGCTATACGATACCTGTCATAGAGTTTGCGATGTTATTTTACTAGTATATAAGATGTGATCATTCTCAGCGAGCACATAGCAATCATCTCATATTTCTGTTATTACCCAGTTTGATTTGCCATTACACTCTCCGTTATACTCAATGTCTAGAGGCTAGCACATTTTCCTGTGAGTTGCATTGCGGGAGCGCGCTAGGTATGCGCATTCTTTGCGTATTCTTGTACTTGTGTCTCTATCGTCTTTTTTACTCTCCCTCTTTGTTTACTCATACATTCTCTAGTCTCTCAGAACACTGTGGTGCCTACTGTTGTGCTCACGCATGTCAATAGGCGAGATGTCCCATAAGCACAATCGACACATGTGATATCGAACCGAATTCTCACACCAAGCCCCATACGGTGGGTGTCTCACAGCTTACCTATAAGCTTCTGCCGATCCTAGAGTGTGAGAGTTCCTCGCAACACTTGTGCATTTTTGCAGAGAATCGCTCATGAGAGTAGTTGTTGCGTGAGCTGTAAGGCAAAAGGACAAAGAAAGAGGAAGGAAAGATTGTGCATGGGTTATAACATAACAGACATCTCAATTATGATTAGAGCCCCTCACTGCTGACTAGGCGTGACCACTTGGCTGAACATTTATATGTTATCCGAACAATTGAGCTCTGCATATATGTGTTTCTTAGACTCTTATATATGCTGCACAACTCGGTGAAGCAAAAGCTATCTGTATTTTAATAATAAAAATGCGCATGTGATCACTTCAGTCATTTAGCATGAGCCACACACACGATAAGTCATCAAACAGCATATTCTGACTCTGAGCGTAATTGTATATCACTATTATCCTATGCTTAAGACATACCCTACGCTAGTCAAAATACTTGTACATGGACATCTTTCTACCTTACATTTACGTAGGAAATCCGATTTTTCCAAAATTAGAGATTTTAATTTAATGTTCAATTTTAGGGATCTACGCATTTGTGATGTCAGTTTATAACAAGGTTCTTCTGTTACCATGTACTGTGCGAAACTGTAATGAGTAATCGTCCTTTTAATCTCTTAGTAACCGTTAAGATGTCACATCAGATGCTGTGCTAAGTGCACAGGTCTACTTTCACTCACGCAGAAGGCTATCGAGCGCAGGTATTGAATGTACATTCGCGACGGCGCCACCTCCCTCTCCCGAGTTCTCCAAATACGAATATCACTTACATGTCTCGAGAGGTGTATCACTCTCCATAACTTCTGATGGAGTGCAGCTTGAGGCATCTTTCAAATACTAAGCAAGAGTGCGCAGCGATGACAAAATGATAAAAGATAAAAACATGCGAGGAGAGTTTTTTCGCCGTCCCATATACAAAGAAAAAAGAAAAATAAGAATTCTTAATCTAGTCTCCTCTCCAAACCTCCGAATTTTTACTTATCATTCACTATGCTGCTTGCCTATCAATATACATACAGAAATAATTGTAAGTGACATTTAATATCCTGCAGAAGCTTACACAGACCACATCTCTATAGCAAACGCTGCATAGTCACAAGTAAATAGCGCGCGTGAGTGTGTGAAGAGAAGCATTACTTAATGCAAGCGTATGTTTATAATGTTGCTTTATTGCTTTCATATAAAGATTTGAAAAAACACCTCACTCCCCTGTCATGTATTTTATAACCCATTCATCTGTC